GCCCCCACTTTGAGGTAATTCCAGCCATGGTTTTTGTGGTGTAAATAGCTATCATGATTCTAGTGTGAAATATAGGCTCAGTCTGCAGCCAGCAGAGGACTGCTGAACCCACTGGGGTGGAAGATACCATCAGCCAAGACCTGGTGAACACCAGCACTGATGCACAACTTGAGCAGGAAAAGGCACAAAGAAGATTTAAGTGTGACGCTGTGGTACACAGAACAATTAGAAGACCTGTTCCCATGTGATGAGAGCACAGGTGGCCGACACGCTGCGAGGACAAGGGACATGAAGGCAAGAAAGCAGAACTCAACAGATCCTTCAAGCATCTCCGTATGTCCAGCATATTGCTGCCCCATTTTACCTCCAAAACAGAGCACAGAGGTCCTTTTAAAGGTAAGGAAAGAGACCACAAGTTTCTCTTTCTCTTGAGATGTACATTAAATAATGTTGCATGTATCTAGTTCCTGGCACAGTGCCTGCTCCCTAAATGTTCAAAGAGAGAAGTAAGGCCAAAGCATCTGTCATGTTAAACAGTACACTCAGCATTACGCAGATGTCATTATTTTCAGGCTTGCATATGATATATGGTTCTAATTTAGGGAAAAAGCAAACTTATTTCCTGAGGTACGTCCCTGGATTTCATGCTGCTAATTTAACTCATTAACGGAACCTCTCTTTCTTCTTCTCTTTTAGCAAAATGTAAGAGTAAGAGCAGGCATAGGAATTATGTTTTCCTATTTGCAAAGATTGTCCTGGTGAACCCAAATCTTTAGCTGCTGACACTTTATAAACCATGAAGATGAATTTCCATTAATTATCACAGGACCTTAAAATTCACATTTAACTCAGAAAGCATGCCAAACGGATTTGACAATCTTTTGATGTAAGCCGCAGGTCAAGCCTCATGGGGGTAAACTTGGCTACAGATCTCCACCTCCCAAGGAGGTACTACCAGCTCATAGTAGTCCAAGGTCACTGTTTTCTCCTTGACTTTAAGATAAAAGAAACACATTTATTACTGAAGTGTGCAACAGTCTTACAATATCTATATGTTAGAAGAAAAATGTTATCATGAGTCTTATGAAAATAGACACACATGAAAGACAGATATTGTAACAATTTTGTGTCTACAGAAGATTCTCAAATCCTGGGGCGATGGGTATAAATCAAAAAAGATGGCTCAACCTCAGAATGCTCCTCCTTCACACAAATGCCTAGGGATCTCTAAATGATAAAGCGAACAGACAAGAAGTTACCATGGACTTTTCTTGGCCTATGGGTCTGAACTGGGCCTGAACCATAAAGCTCTGTCACTCAATCACCTTAAAAAAAAAACAAAACTGTAAATTTCTGCTCTTCAGATTGCTGAGGCCCTGAGAAGTAAATCGCAGAATTTGCATAACTAGCAAGTAAGTTGGATTTGCATTCAAACACAGATCTAACACCGAAGACTGTGACAGACACTATCTGTTGTAGCATGTTTCTGCCCATCTAACAGTTTACCACATAGAGAAAATGTGAAAAACATGGCTTATCCCACTTGCATGTGCTCCCATCCCTTATTAGGGACAATTAATCATTTTCCTGTGCTCCTACAACAGGTATTAATTTGGTAAGATGAAAATTTCTTAATGACAAGAGTTATTCACTTACAGATCTTTTAATCTATAGAAACAACTTATTGTACTTTATCTGAAAGTATAAATGCCTTATTGTGCATTTTTAAGGTTACTGAAACAGGTCACAAATATAAGTGAGCATGTAATAAAAGTAGATTATAGTATTCTAGAAAATACATTCTCACCACTTCTTAATGTGAATCTTCCATTTTTATTGCTTTTTTTAAAATTTGGTAATGAACAATCATTGACCTTTTTCACTAAAAGTGAATCTGCTATATCCATGAAAGGTAGTAACAGATTTCAGAGCCAAAATGAATTAACTTAAATTTTACAGATATTTCAAAACACAGAATTTTTACCCAATGCTCTTGATAACCAGCCACATGTACTCACAGTGAGTCCCTCTCTAAATTCTTCAGCTATCATGGAAACCCACTAGAGAATCTGACAACTTCAGCTCCCTTTGTCCCTGTATTACTCTGCCTGGGAGACCTGGCATAATGTGAAATTGAGTTGGGAACCTGGAAGGACTGCATTTAGTATCTGCAAAGACAATTTCCAGTGTAAGAGGCTAAGGGTTTTGACTAAACAGTCCTAGAGCAAATCCATAGAGTCTATGCTAAGCCTCACGGAGTACTTGGCAGGCTGGAGCTCCAGCTGCCTATCGAAATGAGCTGCTAACCTAGGCAGCCATTAATGTCTCCTTTCACTGCCCTATCACAATTTTCCTACTCCAACTCATGCTTTCTGAAATTATTTTTGTGTGTATTTATCTCCAACACCTTATTTTAAGGTCTACTTTTTTGAGGAAGGTAAGTTTACAGTAAGACAAGTATATAAAAATGCACACAGGAACATGGGAAGTGATCAAGAAATGTACTGGTGGTTCCACTAAAGCCATTCTCTTCAGAGAGTCCCTCTGACATTCACTGGGAGATGTTACCTTATAAATTATGGAAACAAAGGAAAGTTCAGTCACTTCAGGTGAGAAGCTCTATAATCCGGGGACAAAGAGGCACTGCCAAATGTAACACAAAGATTGTCTTTCTTCAATGATATGCTGGGGAAATAAAAATGGGGTCTTAATATATAAGAAGCTAAGCATATAGGGTAATAATTGATATATGAAAAGTATGTAATAAATCTTCCAAAAATTATGTTGAGCAAAACATGCTTTTCTTTTTAGATGGAAATTGGTTCCCTGCAGTCTGACAACTTTTCATCTGAAAAATGTTTGAAGTATTACTATTTCAAGTGTTTTACCCACTACTTGTACTTGAAAATCACTTTTCTCATTCAAATGTAAAAACTGACTTCACTTTATATGTCATTAGACTGAAGTCAGTTCATTGGCATGCCCAAAGTCTCATTGTGGAGACAGATCTTAAAACCAACACCTCCTGGCTCAATAGCCTTTCTATTACATTACACTCATCCTTCAAAAGAAAGACAAGTCCTTCCATCTTCCCAGTTCATCTAATAAACAGTATGAGTACATTCATTCTAAAAGACTTGACAAGAGAATCATTTCAGCTTTTGATAGCTTTGTGGACAATGAGGAAGCACAAAGAGGGGCAGTGAGCCCTGGAGTGAGCTGCTGAAATAGTGATCAAGCGCACTAAGCCTGCCCTAACGAGACTCAGACAGCAAACCTCATCTTCAGTTCAAATTTGCAAGACAAGAGCATACAGAGCCTGTTTCTCCTTTTTTATTTCCAGTAACCTTTGTTGTTCTCTACACTTACCACCATCTGCCCAAGCTTGCTTGTGCCACATTCCATAATTTTTTTTTATACCATACAGCTTGTTGACAATAAAATATAAGACTCAAACAGATCCAGAAACACTGAACTTATGAAATTAAACATAATTAACAAATATAAATGACTGATTCAAACACCAGGTTGCTGTGGCTAGGAACTCTAGATCAGTAGAAGCCTTAAGTAAACAGCAAAAGCTTTAAGTGTGTATCAGAAAACTTACAAATGTGGTAAGTTTGATTTTTTGAGATGTATACAATTTTCTAACTGATTAAGCATGCAAAAACTCAAAAATGTGAAGAGCTCCAAAACTCTTACACTTTCTGAGTGTCAACATGATGCCACAGGTGGAATGTTACACACCTGATTTTAGGTAACAGATAATAATCAAAGCACAGGCACTAAATACAGTATATAATCTCATCTGTAGGTGATATGCATAAGGTATTTATGAAACATAAATGAAGTTCACATTTATATTAGGTTCTATTCTCCAGACATCTCAATATAAATACAAATATATCCAAATACAAAAACAATGTCAAAATCCAAAATGGTCTAGTCCCAAGCATCTGAAATTTTAAAATTATGAAAAAAGTAATCAATATTTTCAACTCAAAATGACAAATAAGTTACTAGGCTCCAGTTAAGAGATCAATTCAAACTAGAAACAAAACTTAACAAGAGTATATACTAAATTTAACAATAATGGAAAAAGCTGTGCATACTCACAGAAGAACATACAGTAGGTTAAGGAGAAGACACAGTACGTGTCCATCTGGGCAGAAAGCAGTAGTGTGGTCTGTCACAGTAGCTGACATAATGTTTCATGGGCTTCAAATACGAGTGCCTGAGCCATATTGTTTTATCTAGATCTACTATCTACTCTGTGGAGAAAAGCAGCTCTGCATAGCTCTTGCCACAGTTTTAAATTCTATACTGAGGTCTTTTATTTAGTGAGTGTGTCTTCCACAGGGACTGTATGGGGGTAAGGGGGAGGGCGGGAAATGGATCTGTGGTAGTAACAGCTGAGTAACCCACAGAAAGCAGACCCTGAAAAATGAACTGAATACAGAGTGACTGAAGAAGAGCAGAGGTCCCACTAGTCAGCCTACTCCACCCACTACACAACACAACTTTGGGATTGCTCTGAAAACCAGTAACACAACATTTTTCTATCTTTTTCCACATCTTGCATTTCATCTGGTTATAATAAAGGTAGTTCTATTAGCATTCTTATCACACTTCAAAATAATACTCAACAAGGAAATGAACAAGTTATTTATGTGTCCATAATCTTTGACAATTGCAACTGGCTTCCTTTTATCTTTCTTTCTAACCAAAATTAAAAAATGCTCTATAAAAATAATTGCTCAGAACACAAGGAACTACAGAGTGGCATAAAAGAGAAATTTTATGAAACAAAGCCAATAATACAGCAAACATAATAAATCACCCATTTCTAGTTATACATGACAGAATTAAATAATAAAGTATCTCCCAAAAGGCGATTCCTATACATTTAATAGCAACAAATCACCAAGAGTCCCATTCCTTCTCCATGTAAAATCATTCCTTCACAATCTCATCAGTAAAATGCCAGAAACAATACATACATGATGGTGTTAATGCCTGAGAGCTGTTGGAACATTTGTAGGCCACAACCCACAATTAAAGCTCGGCGAGTTGGGGGATAAGTCAGCATTCTGCAGATCACAGGTCCAGCTTTTTTAAAAAAGAAAGAAAAACAAAAAAAGATACATCTATTATTTTTAGCTCTCACAGTAATTATTCCCATTAAGATAAAGTTCCCCAAATCTTGTGAAATCAACATGACTGGGCATTGAAAAATAGAACACATACACTTTTACAGAAACCAGAGTGCAATATATTATTTCTGAAACAGACTTAGTTTTTTGTTTTTAGTTTAAACTGCAAAAGTAGTAAGAGAAAATTCAAGTTAAAGCAATATCTATAGATACCAGGAACATGAATGTAACTGGAATTGTCAGAATTATTTTTCCTTAAACCTCTACCAGCTGTACATATTAATCTCTCTATTCTTTCACTATCTTTTTTTTTTGGGGGGGGTGGAACTGGGACTTGAACTCAGGCCTTTGCACTTGCCAGGGAAGTGCTTATTCCACTGAGCCATCTCCCCGGCCCCCCTCTTTCACTATCTTTACAATGAAATGTTATTTAAGATTTATCCAGATAGAACTTACAAAGGCACTGGCAAAACTGTTTTAAACAACCAAAAGAAGGCATTTATTGCAAACAAACATGGAACAAAATTCATTTTATTCAACTAAAACTAAGGAATTTGGGTTTCATACCACACTCATGATGATTACCCTGCATATTACAAATAAGTCACTAAAAAAGGTAACAGAAAAAGTTAAAGTTGATTTGAGTACACACACAAGACACACACACACGCACACTCACACTCAGAGGGGTAGTTCCATATTTTAACTAGTACCCAAAAGGGTATTGGACGGTGATTTTAAAAAATAATGGTGTATGAAAATGGCACAGAGCCCCTAGTGATTACACTGAAACTCTAGATGAGTTCTGGAGAGCTGTAGATCCGATCCACCAAGGCCTCAAGTATAGCGACTCTCTTTACTGATGTCTGCTGTCAGGGCACAATTACTGAAAATGTCCCTTCTGTTCTCAGAAAGGTTCCATGCAGATTTCTGCTTAGCTTTACCAGGCACAGCACATGGGGCTAGGATTTGTTCCCATGATCTGTGCTGTTCCTGTTGTCAGAGCAAAGGGCTGGGGCCAAGTGGATGCCAGCTGCTTAATTAGAGGCCAAGCTTTGTTACTGAACTGCAAACTAAGTCAAGTAAATTAAAACCGATGAAGTCTCACCCCTTTAGGAATCTTCCGGAAATTTAATATCCCAGTTTGCAGAAATGGAACAGAAAATGCTATTCTCTCAGCTGCAGACGTGAAAATGGGATGTCAAGCCAGGACATTAATTAGAACTGAACATTATAGGGCTGAGAATATTCTACCTTTTCCTGGTATGATTACAGTCACAAAACTTGACTTACTGCGAATGTTTTTGTCTCTAATTGGTACAGGTTAATTAAGAGAAGCATTGACGGGCATTCAAAGCTAAAGTTAAATAAAATGACACTCATTTAGAAGATAGGCTGTGAGAATTCCACACACTGAATTAAGAGTCAAGCAAGTTATATTAAAGCCAAATATATTAGGATGGCTATGTGCAGAGATGGCGAGAACTTTCTGTGAAAATGATGAAATATATCTCCATCAGTTTCCTGACAGGCTCACACAAATACAGCTCTAAGTAAGCCACAAAAGAAGGAATACATACAACATCAGATAAACATCTACCTTTTCCCCAAAACAAAACTTTCAAATTCAAAAATCATCACTTACTTTGATAACATGGAAAAAAATTTAAATGACAATCAAATCAAACAAAATCCCATTTTAGTACTATCCAGAAATGAGAAACTGCCTTCTCTACCTTCAAGAAGTCTATTACAATCTTTAGAGAGCTACATCTACTCTCTTTGTTACACGTCTTAGGAGCTGATAAATGGGTTAGGGCATAGGAATTATGGAGAACAGACCAAACTGACAGATTAGAATCAAAGTTTGACTTGCCTTTATACAAAAATATAAACTAACATATAAACACCATATATTTACTGATTTCCAGTTTAAAAAACTTTCCCCTATTTTCTCTTGTTTGGATTTGTTAACAATAAACAATAGCAGTTCCTTCATTAAACTGAATCTTTTAATGGATAAAGTTTGGTCACAACAGCTGCACATGTAATTATGCATAAACAAAATTAAAGAACTTCCTTTAATTAAAATCATAAACCTAGGCCAGGGAGATAGCTCAGTGGAATAAGTGTTTGACTGGCAAGTACAAGGTCCTGGGTTCAATCTCTGGTACCGCCAAAAAGTAAAATAAAAGATAAAAATAAAATCATAAACCTAGCTTTATAGGGCAGCAAAACTGAGTTAACAAATAAAAATTATCATTTATCTTTGTATCACAGAAGCTATGAGGCAGAAAAAAATAATAATTGGCTGAATGGTCACAAACAAAAATTTAAAATGACAAGCTCTACTTACCATATTTCTACTGCTTTTGTAATTAAAAACAACTTGGGTATAAAACATTTCACACTTAATTTTCTTTCAAATGTTTGTGTCATTGAAATACAGAAATTTCCACACAATAAAAACTAAACCCTCTAACAAATACAGTTCAGAAATAAAGACCCAAATATACAAATAGTAACACAATGGATTCAAGAAACCAAAAGGGATTCATCTTTTCCTCCATTCTGAACCCTTGTATTACTGCACTGCTCAACCAACTCCTCGTGGTTTTCCAAGTGACAGGAGCTCTGGCAGCATAAGAGAGAAAGCCTACAAAGCAGCCTTTCCCAAGGATGGCTAGTGTGAGCTGAGCTCCTGATGGCACTCTGAATACAATTAAGAGTAAGTAGGAAGAAATCTGGAAGACACAGAGATAGGGATAGAGTTCACAAACAAAAACAAAACCACACTGGGCAGTACTTCAAAGAATCAATAACGGGGATTTCATCTTACTGAAAATTTTTGTGCATTAAAAGAAATCACCCACAGAGTAAAGGAAAACCCATATAATGGGAAAAAATTTTAGCCAACTGTCCCTCAGACACAGGACTTCTATCTAGAACATATAAAGATTAAAAAACAAAAATCAGGCCCCCAGGCTGGTCAGATAGCTCAGTGGACTCAAGTGCCTACTAAAGCAGGCGCAGGGACAGGGGCTGGATCCCCCATGTGCCATTCTGGCCTTGCCCCCAGGGAGCACTGAGACTGCTATTGAGACTGGGCATGGCGGCGCACACCTGTAATACCAGTACTTGGGAGGCTGAAAACAGGAGGATCACTTTGAGCTCAATCTGTGTAGTGAGATCCTGTAGACACTGTACTAAATATATTTTTTTAAAAAAGTGAAAAATCAGAACCCAAAATCCAAAAACACAATCCAGAAATGGGCACCTGAAATGAATGCATACTTCTCAGATGAAGAAATACATATAGCAAACAAATATATGAAAACTTGTTCAACATCATTGGTCATTTGAGAAATGCAAATTAAAACAACACTGAGAGTCCATCTCCAGAAAGAATGGCTATTATCAAGAAAACAACCAATAACAAAGAGGGGTTAGGGGGAAAAATGAACACTTTTCCACTATTGGTGGGAGTGTAGACTGGTACAACCACGATGGAAATCGGTGTGGAGATTCATCAAAACTAGGAGTGGAGGTCCCATTCAACCCAGCTATTCCCCTTCTGGGTATTTTTCCAGAAGAAGTGAAAATATGCCTAAGGAATATAAGTTCATCCATGTTTACAGCAGCATTTGTCATAGCTGAATCGTGGAAACAATCCAAATGCCCACTAACCAAAGAATGGATAAAAATATGTGGTCTTTTTATACAATGAAGTCTACTCAGCTATAAAGGATAAACTCAAAGCTTTAATAGGTAAATGGATGCAACTAGAGACCATATTCATAAGTGAAATAAATCAGACTCACATGTGTAAACATCGTATCATCTCCCTCCTGTAAGAAACTTAGAGAATAAATAATATCCCAAATACACAATAGATACTATGAAAGGAAAACAAACTGCTCAAAAAGAAACAACTGGGATGGGGGAAAAATTTACATACGTAAACAAGATAGCTAAGATAATTATACTACTAATTTTTATTAGTTCATTGAAAGGAATGGTTTGTATTTATACTGTTTAATCAGTTTTGCATGCCTATATCTTGTAATCTGAGCAACCACTTTGAAGACAATATGCAGTATAATAACCGTTGTTAATATCCTATTATCTTGTTTTGAAATTCTGTGTCATTGGTTTTATTGGGTTTTTTTCTTTAAATAAAAAAAATACTAGAATCTCATTTTATGAAACCTCAGTTCTTAACTTCAATTTCCACCTAAGATACAGGTTAGACAAAAATGCACGCAACAGTAGCTCTCATGATACTGGACAATATCTAATAAAGGACTATGAGCCTCAAGATTGAAAACAAATGGAGCAACCCAAACAATGGTCCCAGCTGAATGCCTCAAGCAATCTTCCAGGCTGCAGCATGAGGAGGCAAGCAGAAACACCTGGTAGTCGTGAATTAGCGAGCTGCCGCGCACAATGTAGGATGCCATGGGAGCTCAAGTTCACAGGGCAGAGAAGAGTGAGGATTCAGAGAGAGACTGAGGACTCTGGGGCATTTTAGAGTCCCCCTGGAATACTGATGCTGTGCATTCACAGGCAGATGCCAATGAGGAAACTATCCAGCAGGGGAAAAGAGCCCTTCAAAGAGTTCGAGAAATAATTCTCAAGAGGGCTGGTGTACTGGTTGATACATTGCGTCAACTTGAGAAATTTAGAAGTTTAATTAAGTGACTTGGCAGAGAGCCAAGATTCTTAGCTTGTAAACCTTCTCATCCTGTGCAAGAGGGGGTATGAACATTGTATGAATTCTACACCCCAACCCCAGGGTAGCTTGTTTACAATATACGGAGGGGAAAAAGGCTGGCTAAAAGACTCCACCCTTTGCTCTTCACTGTTTCTTGCTGCCATGAACTACTGCTCTCTGCCATGTGCCTCTCTGCTTGGGAGCCAGCCAAGTACAGACTGAAACCTCCACAAACTGTGAGC